TTACATCTAACATCAAACTCTTTATTTATCAGAAATGCATTTTTCTACATGCAATAAAAATGAACACATAAATAAGTAAACAAAGAGAAAATTATATGAGAACAGCAGCTTCACATTAAACAGATTCACCCATTTTGGTATATAGAATGGTTTAACCAATTCCGATATTCACACAGCCAAGCACCACACGGAGACCAATTAATATCATCAGGCAAAATATATGCATAAAGAAAAAAGACAAAAAGAAAGAAAGAAAGAAAGAAAATAAAAATGACAGGCACATTACTGACATGAAGATAACAACAAATTTAAAATAATAACTAATAAGAATTATGCAACAATAATAATGAAGCATATAAGCAGCTACTATCGCATACTTAAATGGGATTTAAATCATCTTTATACTTAATTAGAACGGAACCAATTCTCTATATCAAAGAAAATGAATACACAGTGAAAATATCTGACAACTTGAAAACCAAGAAAATAAATAAGTATAGAATTTAATAACAGTCTTTGAAATATGATCTGTGTCACAGGAAATGAGACTACTTAAAAACACTCTATAATCTATGAATCTTGAGCTAAAAATGATAAATCTACAAGAAAAAAAGAAGGAAAAATGTTCTAGCAAAGAAACTCTGTGTAAAACATTTCCTCACACACCTTTCCAACACTAATAACTTGATATATAATAATATGCAGAATTAAGACCTATGGATAATATTCACAACATCCATATCTAAAACACACTAATCTGATATATATACTAACTTTGTGACTAATGTTTTTGATCCTACATACCCTTGATATACTAAATCACTAATCTGACTGAACAATACATATGATATAGTCATAGCAAATATTCTATACCCTTAAAAAAAATAACTGAGAGAAAAAATTATAAATGGACTTTAGCCATAATGTTCACAAAACACCGAATTTAAAATGCAGACTGACCTTTCTGTGTAGTTCTGTACACTTTATGTATCCGTGCGCAGGACTACTACACCAGAAGCAGTTGTAAGGTATTGAAGACACAAGAATGGCAAGACGTTTGGCTGTTGCCACAGCGCAGTGAAATTATGTTTTTGTCACTGCAGGGCATACATCGTAAGCTTTTTTATCTTTTAAATCAATTGACTCACAGCGTGTTAAGATCCTGCAAGGAGAATATCAAAAAGACATTATATTACCTGTATTATCTTTCAAAAATTGTACTGTATATCCCTTTTCACCACTTCAAAGATATCTGGCTAGTATCTTTGCTGTCAAAGATTAATAGGTTTCTAGAACTACAGTACCAATATTTCATTTGTTTACCGAGACTCACTGATGTAGAATCTGAGAAACTTTCCAGACTTGCCAACATAACTAATTTTAATTTTACTTTAATGTTTAACCTTTAGATTTTTTTCTCATTAATAACTTTATTAGATAATTAAATAAAGAAGGGTGTGTCTTAAATGTCAATAACTTTCTTTGGCTATAACAATTTCATGTTTTGGAACTACATTATTAACTTTTTTGAAAATTTGGTGATTAACAGCAGGGCAGCCAGAAATTAGGTATATCAAGCAGAGCCTGTTTTAGTGGTAACTATGCCTTCTACATCATTAATCCCCCACATGGATAGAGGATGCAGTGCAGCCCTCAGGGACATATTCATAATCTCAACCTTCAGTGACAGGAACGTCTATTGCAGGCATGACGTAATGGCCTATGACATCATGACTTGGGTCGGCTGGCTGTACACAGCTTAGGCCTAGCCACAAAGTCTAGACTGTTGAGTAATATTTGCATCACAAAAAATTCAGGCCCTGTCATCATAGGTTAAGGTTTCTCAATTGTGGTAAAGAAAAAATAAATTTGCAAACCATTAAATATACAGGACATGTGTTAACTTACCTATTCCATACACACTTAACACCTGGGTATGCTGTCAAACACTTTTCACTTGATGTTAAACCCGGTTTCACAGCTGAAATACAAGTAGAACCAATCAGCAACAGCTAATATAAAAGATAATCATAAAAGTAGTGATTTCAAAAGTGTAAATAATGAGACAAATAAAGGAAGATTCAAAGCAATAAACTGATTTCACTTCAAAGTAAAATTCACTTCAAAAAACAAAGAACTAACAAAACCTTTTTTAACCTTTGCATCTCCTACATCAGTACTTAAAGGATCAATCACAACAGTACTTTCTTGGTCGAAACACTTACTCTCCTGGATGGTATTTCAGCACAGAGCCCAACATTTTGCCGTTGAAGCTCCAACAATGTACATCTCCTCCTGGTGAAACACTGCTGTGTGTGTCCATACCTAGCAACATCAAGGTACAGGTTGGGGTTGCGCATTGTATGCCATGAATTACAGCTTATGTCGTAGGCCAAAAAGTCTGCACTGTAACACTTTGCACCGTAAATAGGCTGTGTCATTATGCGTATTTCCTCCGAACACCAGCATTAAACCTTTAAAAAGGACGGCAGAATGCAAGAACCGAGGCACTGGGCCGGGGTTCGTAGTTTCCTGTAGGGTTAGAAAGGAAGCAAAAATTAAATCTAAATCATTTAACGTGTCATAATAAGTTTCTAAACACATCATCAACTAAACATGAAAACAGAAAAAAAGAAAAAATGAAAGAAAAGATTTTTTATTTTCCCCAAAAAAAGTAAGTTGTACACAATGATAATGATAATGACTAAAACAAAGACCAAGAAGATGGTGGGGGCAAAAATGAAATAAAATAGAGCTTGAGAGAGAAAATAGCGGCACCCTTACCATATGTGTTTGACAGGATCATAAGTCATCAAATAGGGCACAACTTGACTGGTGGAAGTGATGGAATGCAGACCACCATGGACGTAAACAAGAGAGGTCACAGGATCCCAGACGGCCGTGTGACATAAACACCAACTCACCACTGCACCTCGTGTTTCTATGGTTTCCCAGTTGCCTTGCTCTGAAATCATGTAGTGAATGGTAAGCTTACAACATTTTCAAGGGATACAGATGTTGAGAAATGCAGAGGTCATGTCTACGATCAAACCTGACTGGGTGTTCGGACAGGTTGGACAGTGATTTGAATCATGTATTCCTTAGTTTACTTTATAGGAGCCACCACCATTGCCCTATAGTGTTTACATCTACCATAGGTATCTTACAATGGTTAATACTGCTAGATAACTTTATTTACACAACTACTAACATTGTATGAGGCCTGCAAATAGGAAATATCTATCATTATGAACTTTCAGTATGTTACTTAATCTTAAAATGAAAAAGCAAGAAAAAAAAAAAATTTAACGACATTAATAATCTAATCAATATGTAAAAAATAAATAATATGAGTATAAAACTTAAATATACAAATAAAGTTTGACCAATATCACCAACTTCGAGAGATAATAGTGTACCAACAGGGTAACCTTTTGATTCTGATATATACATGTATTTATCAAATATTGCAAGCATACTTCTTTTACACAACCTCTTCACACTGTAGCACTTACAAGTAGATTTCACATAACTATAGGATGTATAGGAATGTAACCTTTATAACAAAGGTTTACTATATATAGGCTACATTTTTACAGTTAATAATAAAAAAAGTAAAAGAAATTATTAATTAGGAAAATTACAGCATATGCAGATGCTAGGTGTCATAAATGATGGAATTCATTGTCTTACCGAAATCAAACTCTGTGGACTGTGTTTAAATATCCATATCTGGAGGAATGCCCAAAGATGACGAGCATAACATTCTTCTTCACCTTCTGCACCACCACCGCCGCATGCCCTACACAGGGTATGGGCGCACTGGGCCCAGGCGACGATGACAAGCAACCCCCAGCCTCACTCCCATTCTCCCTCTTTGGTGAATGATCGTTTGCCTCTCCATCCTCCTCTCCAAACTCATCCTCATCTCCTTCTCTCCCTTCTCTTTGGCTACTGATGTTCTCTTGCCTATTTTCTCGGCTTTCCCACTTCTGTTGTTGCGTCTGTTTCCTTCTCGACGCCCTAGTCTCCCCTTGCGCCCATTCCGACTCTTGCCTCCTCTGGAACTCTTTTCCATGGGGACCAGCGACCAGGCCAGAGAGGAAGTGTCAAGCTGCCAGAACTCTCGTGTGATGGTTCCGTCCTCCTTCATGCCTCCATACATGTATATCGATCCCTGTTGGAAATCAAGGCCAGGCCCAAGATAATCAAAATTACAAAGATCAATAGTCTCTCAAGCATATGAAGGAGAGGTTATCATAAATATTATAATTTTTTTTGTTTCTGACATAATTCACAATTGACAAAGTTGCAAGTGTAAAAGTACAGAGGCTTGAGACTAACATTATACACCACTGCAGAATGCCCATATCTGGAGGCTGGTTTTTTTATGCTTCGACTCTCTAAAGCTCTCCAAGTGTCTTCTAAAATGTGTAAGAAAATAAAATTACAATAGCCAAAACTAAATGCCTATTGGTATCTTCTAAAAAACATATGTGCATTTCAACAACAAAATTAAAATATGGCAATAATATAACATTCCTATATATATTGTTGGAAATCAATACTTATCAGAAACGAAACGAGAAAGAAAGAAAAAACAGGACTCACCTGTAATATTGTATTTTAAAAACAAAAGGCTTTTCTGTGAAGGAATATCCCCCTATGACCCAGATTGCATTATTGATAAGGACAGTGGCATGTGACCCTCGCTCTAGCATGGAGGAGAACGGATTTGCTTTTTTCAGCTTGCTGGTGATGTCAGGGCTGACTACTTCCCACCATCCCTCCTGTATGACCTGACTGCAGTCTGTACCTGGTGTAAAGGAGAAGTCCGAGGTTAAGAAATTTCTTTTTTGATGAGTATGCTACATTGTGTGTGACTGCAGACTAAAGTCATGCCTTTATTGCCTATTTTAGCAGAAAGTTAAACAGCAAACATCCTGTAGAAGCAAAAAGTCACTTTGTGCAAAATTTAAGACCCAAATCAGCACTTGGTTCTACTGATTAATATATAATAATAAAAAGTATCACGATCATAAAAGTATTACAAAAGCCTTTTCTTAGTTTCCATCATTCCCTTACACAAGGATTACCCTTATCAACAAAAAATGAAAAGCATAAAATACTGTCAATTTTTTTTTTTGTCAAAATACACTACCTGTATATCCCTGATGGCACTGGCAGCGGCGTTCCTCCGGTTTGCATTGGCCGTTGCCTGAACAGCCGCCTGGGCAAACTGGCACTGAGCAGGCAGGTCCCCTCCAGCCCATGTCACAAATACACATCCCCTCCAGGCAAGCACCTCTGCTTGAGCATTCCTCGCCAACAACTGTGCTGGGACAATCGTCAACTCTGTGATGGCTAGGATGGGAAATCAGTTTATCACATAAGAGCAGGATTAATAAGTATCAACACTCTCTTATCTACATTGTATTATGTATATTATGTATTCTTATTCAAACTATTCATAGAAATGTACATGAATAACACAGTAAAAGAAAGAACTTTTAACCTATAGAGTCTGTTTTATACAACAATAAGCAATATTAATTTGTAACAGAAAACTAAAGAACAAATATGGCGAATGGCATTTTCTAGACAACACACAGCTAAAGTTGTCTGAAACAAAAATCTCTAATTATTTCTATCATCAACAGAACAGTATCAGCTAAAGTAATTTGTACTTCAACCACTTGATTTGATTTAATGATGCACCTTTCAGCATCAAGGCGGAATCCCAGAGTTTCCTTAATCTGAAATTGTCAATGCCCTTTGTGACAGATCAACTGTGAGTGGCCTATTGCCTATGCAGAGTAATGGCATTGAGGGGGCATTGATCTAAGGGGACTCAAACAATCGCTTCTGATTGGTTTTCTCCTTTAACATAGATGTTGGCCTTTTACAGATAGATATTGGCCTTTTACAGATAGATGTTAGCCTTTTACAGACAGATGTTGGGCTAATGAACCCCTTTGGATGCATAACGCATGATAATACTTGTTTCTTCTTTTTCTTCTTTTCTTAATTATCATCATATTATTTATTTACTTAGTTTTGTGAGTGCAAAGGGTTAAAGTACAAAGAAATTAAGAAAAAAATTAGGAAGGTTTCTTTTCTGTTCTGTGTGGACACAAAATATCAAACTGCACTGCCTTAGAAGGTAAACAAAAAAAGACATCAAGACATAGTAACTTGCCTCCTGTACCTACAACTTACCTATAAGATATTGAGAATCCTGATAGACTGTAAGCTGCATCTGAATAAAAGTATAGCAGTGCATAGCCCGACTTGGCTACCACCTCAGGCATCTGTGGTACTTGGTAGTCATCCTGGACGACCATGCCACTGAAAGCCAAGTGAAGAGCACGTCAGATATATAATGGGAATATCATGGAATGAAACAGTACACATAATACATACATGAATAGATAGATGTGTTGAAACAAATAACTGAACAGGTGAAAATAAATAAATAATCAGGTGAAAAGAAATTAATGAATATGTGAAAATAAATAACCGCATTTTAAGAACAATTAATTAAATAAAACAAAAAGAAAGAAAAGAGAAAAAAAACTGATAATGAAAGAAAAAGGTAAAAACAAAATTATGAAAAGCTAAAAACAATAAGCAGATACATAAAAACTTTATCAAACAGGAAAATAAATAATCAAATGGGTAAAAATAATACCAGATACAAATAAACAAATTAGTAAAAATAAATAATAAATAAGCAAAAAAAAGAAAGAAAGAAAAAAAATCCTCACCCCTTCTAAATAATGATGACGATGACGATGATGACTGATGATGATAGATGTGCTTGATAATAACAAAACAAATATACAAACCAAGTCTAATTCAACGACCCCAGCAAGGATCCATTAAAAATAATAATCTTTTCATATACTCCGACCACCAGACATGACCACTCATTGCCGAAACCTATTGTGAAAGATCTAGGTTTCCTCACAGTCTTTGAGCACGGAGGACGTCCTTGCTAGTAAATCTGACACGATGGATTTAATAGGATTGGTCAACAGGACACACGAGTGGGGCAAGAGCACTGAGAGTGGGCTGTTGTGGGTGAATTCAGGAGTTGACAGCTGGGAATAAACATGAACAGTGATTCCGTATACAAACTGAGGGCCAAGTAAGGCAATAGTCAATGAATTTTATATATAAAGGTTCTTTTTCTTTTCTTTTTTTCATAGATACATCATGCAAACACAGCAAACAAACAAAACACACACATACCACTACAAAATGCACCCACACAAACACATGCAGCACTTATATCCAACACTTAAAGGAATGAATGTGTGCCACAAAAAGCAAAATAATGTCAATTGCACTCTATTTCCTTGCACAAGAAACTTTTAAAAGAGAAAGTATTCCAATTTTACAGAAAGGATTCTACTGTGCTCTCAACCGGCAGAAAATGATGGTCAGCAAATAATGCTCATATGCTTATCTGCACCAATGAAGGAAGAGAGCACACATCTAAAAATTTAGTTGTTTCATCGAAAATTATTGTCATTTTGGCATAATGGCACCACATCTAGACAAGAAAGAGAAAATTGTTATCAAGTCTCTCTCAAGCTCCCTTACTATCCTCATCCCACCCCTCCCCCCACCCCCCCCTCTCCTCTCTCTCTCTCTCTCTCTCTCTCTCCTCTCTCCTCTCTCTCTCCTTCTCTCTCTCTCTCTCTCCTCTCCTCTCTCTCTCTCTCACATGCTCCTTTCCCCTTTTTTACAAAGTATCCTATTGTAAATTCATAAAGCTTGTGCTTATCACCGGAGAACTTTTATCCAAAATCAAAACAGAAAAAGAAATGAAAGACAGAAATAAAAAAACAGGGCATGGACCAAACACAGCAAGGGGGAAGAGAAACGAAGATTGTGTCTGTTGGAAAGAATAATCAGTACATAACCATGAAAATCTTGTACAATAATACTAAAGGGTCTCCTTTGAGCTTCTGACATAAATGGCAAATAATAACGCCCTGTGTGGCTTCAGCGCATCAAACATAATTCCAGTATTTTCACCCTCCTGTGAGTATTTATGGCTTATGTCCATATGTGGAGCTGCATGTATGTCCAAGGGTATGAGGGTCTGTGTTACATACAAGACTGCATATGTACAGTATAATTGAAAAAAAAAAAAATATATATATATATATGTATATATATATATATATATATATA